ACAATGCCGAAACCATATTTTATGTGGGTTTCCCAAGTAAGTCTGCCGGTCTGTCTAATCGTCTAAGCATGATATAACATGTTTTGGGGTTTCAGTAATTTTAACCATTATGAGATAGAACGCTTGAAATAACTACAGCACAATAGCAGCTTCCACATTCGTCTAACATCGCTACATTGTTTGTACAACTATTAATGCTTAGTACCGGGTAGATATCGGCAAAATGTTATCTCTATCCTCTCGATTTCCGAATTTACGTACCCCCATATCGCTACCATAAGAGATAGTTGGCACAATGATTGCATCAAACAAATTAAATGCACTAACCAATGGCATACTACCAAGTTTCTTACAGTATGTAAATATATTTGGTTCACTGTAAATCTGTTCTTAGAGGGCGGTAAAATAGTATGCATACATCATTAGACTTCAATGACTACAACTCCTTTTATGAACCCACTAAAAATATAGTAAATTTTCTGAGACATAAAAAAAAAACGTGTAAAATGTGGTCAGAAACGTGATTCGTTATCTCGAATTATTGAATGGCCTTGTATAACTTGAACACATCAGCAACTTCTTGAGATTTTATCATGGTAAAACTTAATTGATGAACCATAAACAGATAGTATTTACTCTGTTGTGTGTAATCGGTGTTTTTTCCTGCCTAATATGAGGATTTTTTTGTTGGCCCGTTTTTGTTACCAATTTATGATTCATCGCATAGTTTCAGTGCTGAAGCAACACTGTGGGGTAAATTGTTGGCTGCAAGAAGCTCTTCGGCCTATACAACTCGTGATGATAAATCTTCGGCATTTTTTAATGATATGTCCAACCCGTAGCTGTACACCATTGTTCAATAACAGAGGCTACACGTACTAATACAATAAGTTAACTACATTTGGCTGATACACTTGGAACAAAACAGTGATATATGCCATCATTAACTTGAAGAATGCAAAACTAATGAACCAAACTAGGAAAGTACAGTGTGGTGTTGTCGTGTCAATCCCGTTCGATCCCCACACTTTACTAACTGA